GGAGTAAAAAAAGAAAAAAAAAAAAAAAAAAAAAAAAAAAAAAAAAAAAAAGAAAAAGAAGTACTGCTGGTTGAGTATCTGAGGTAACCGATGTTCCATCGAGGATGCTACGGGAATCGTTTTGCCCATGAACGGATGTTGCAGCTTTCTGCATTTTGTACCAAGTGTTCCTAATAAATGTATTAAAACAGGTTTTTTTAAAAAAAAAAAAAAAAGAAACAACAAAAGAGAAGCTGGAAAAAAGAGCCCAGGGGTAACCCTAGTCTGTCGAACGCTAGCATGAACAGGAAATGCCTTACTAGGGCCTGGCTACCCTTCGGTTAGCGCACCCCGGGTTGGCATTTGACAACCACACTGACTTCTTAAAATCTCAACAGAAGGTTCCGAGCTGTGGGCTTCCGCACGCCACGGACAGCGCTAGCGCCCGCCGCCCCTCTGCTCTGGGGCGCTCTGTTCCACGTAGCTGTACCTACCAGGTCACGCAGGGCAGCTTCTCGCCCTCTAACGCAAGGTACCCCGGGGCCGGTGGAGCCGTCCCGGGGCCGCTCTGTGGCCTCCATGCCCGGAGGCTGGGCTGGAAGTTAAGAGCAGGGGAGCGGCCGTTCCCCACCAGCCCCGGGCAGGGCGACCCCTCGGAGCGCATTGCTACGGGCTCTAAAGGGAGCGCGGGCCCTGCCTGCAGTAAATAGCGCCCAAATACCGCCCCGTGCCTCAGGCTGCCCCCGGCCTGCCCGCGTTTGCTCGGGCATCTGCGCATTAAACGCTCCGGCAGTAACGGACGCAGAGGTCAGCCAGCCGCACCAGGACAGCCCTGGGGCCATGGCTCTTCCCGATTAAAAAGCGTTTACACCACGAGCAGCCTTTCCGCAGCGACACTCAATTACGCCGTTAAAAACCAGGGAAGTGGTAGTACAATATTTAAAGCGGCAGATTTAAAAGAGGAAGAGAAGCTCTCTCAGCCTTCCCCAGGCGAGGCTCAGCGAGCGCCCCGCCGTGAGGCGGCAGCGACTCCCGAAGCGAGGCTGCGCCATTTTACACGTTGCTGCATCAGATCTTGAACAACAGCTTATGAAACCATCTGCATTTGCTCCGTTTCTGCTAGGAAAGGGGTTAAAACTCCTGGGGAGCAGAGAGGTTGTCAGCGAAGCGTGATCGGATTCTCATTTGTTCAGAACTCGGCAGCCACGTTCGCGTCCTGCTGCGCGCGCAAAGTCACCTCCCCGGATTAAAAACGGAAGCAAAACGAAAGCGTCAATCGAAGAAGCAGCCACGAGCTAGATTTCTGTCTTTTCCTAGCCAAGCTGGACACCACCGACCCTCTCGAGCGGGGTTCTTCTGGCTACCTGCACCCTTGGGCACGCGCGCGAGGAGCGGCCAGACCGACAGCGCTGGTGGGACCTCAGACCTTTCTTCCCCTCCCTGCCAAGAGCGTGCTGCTGAGCTCCGTCCCGGTTATCCGTAACGTCTCCTGTTGTTCCCAGAGGTTAAATTCCCGCACGCGTCCCGCTGAGAGCAGCTCGTGGCTGTACGGGTCAGTTTTCAAGGTAACGTTCACAGGGAGCTCCTAACGGCAACAGTAAAAGCTGCTTTCGAAAGACACGGAACGCAGGCTGGAAAGACAGAGAGCGCGGTGATGAACGGACAGCGTCGGCGTACCGCCAGCCCCCGCCGGGGCTGTACTCTAGAGGTTTCTAAAATTTATTCCACTCGGTAACTGGTGTGAAGGATCGAAGGAAGCGGAGTGAAGCAGTACTTCCGAGAAGCACTTTGGCACCTGCCTACCAGTCACTTTGTCAGTTGAACGTAAGGCATGGACTTCCTTCAACGCAAGAAGGCGGCGGTGAAAGCAGCTGCGACGGTTTTTCCTCGTTGTTTGCGAGCGTGTGCTACGGCCATTGGTATTCGTTACCTCTGAACGGTCATTGCATATTTTAAGTCGTGAGCGTTAAGTAAATCGTCCCTGAAATCTGTAAGCGTTTTATCGTCTGAAAGCTGTGGCTAGAGCTTTCCGTGCGGTTCCAGGACAACCCTGCGCATCGCAGACAGCGAGCAGTGCTCCGCTGAGGCGGCACCCAGCGTCGGGGAGAGCCAGAGCCAAGCTGCACATCGCAAAGCGGAGAGTAAGGAATGGGGGGGTAACGGAGCTTCCTGAGGTGATCCTGAAACAGCGATACAGAACCCACTGCACACTGTTTAGTGAAACAGAACACACGCTAGGCAGACCTTTGCACAAACATAAATAGGTAAAAGACTTTTTTTCGTTAAAAAAAAAAAAAAAAAAAAGTCATGCTTAAGTTTTCAAATATTCCTCAGACACAGCAAACCTAAATAGTATTCAGTTAAATAAATGTATGAGATACTCTGGGAAATGGAGGTAAGAAGAAAAGCTTTAAACTAAAAGAGGAAGGAAAATTTTGTTTCAATAAACAGCACTTTTTTTTTTTTTTTTTTATACACAACAAGCTAGTACAAGGAAAGGCTAAAAACACTGCTTTAGGAATGGCCACTTACTGTTGGCATGAAGCATAGCTTACCCTTTTTAAATAACACAGTGAATTTGAAATACATCATTTACAAAACATGGATCAATTTATTATTCAAATTTTCGTTAGTGTTGTCAATCTCATAATTTAGCGGAGGTGGAACTGAGGTATACCTTGTTGAGGGAGGTTAAGTAATACTTGGAAGCCTCTTTGCTATATCCCACTTGATTACTTTTGTTTATGTACACTGAACAGCAGCACACTAAACATTCACAAGCTGTGTCATATTGGCATTACAATAGTCATTTTTATAAACAACAGCAAATGCAATAAAAACAAGTTACCCTTTTTTTTTTTTTAAATCTGAAATGAAATGTTTGATTTAAAAAAAATAACAGTAGTTCATTTAAGGAATTAGTCTCTTCTGACAGGTATTAAGAAATCTGATGTCAGTTTTTAAAACGCTTGATTAGCCAGTACGGGTCCATGTTCTTCATTTAAGTTCCTTAACGGCACGTTCTCGTTTCTCAGTCACGTGTCCTTCGGGTGTAAGCAGGGAATGCAAAAAGTCTCACGGATCCACGTCGGGGAGGAGGAGGAAGGGGAAAACCAAAGGAGAAACACCTCCTGCTGCCGTTCCGCAGAGACTTACCGTTCTTGTCACACAGAAAACAGTAAGGAGGTGAGCAGTCCCGTGCGCTCTAGCAGCTCCAGTGAAGAGTCCTGGCGGTCAGTTCCGTGACCAGTGCAACTATCATAGACTGGATTCTTTGGGAGGAAAGTCAACGTTTGTCACCATTGTGACCACCGTCACAATGTCCTCTGTTGTGATAATGTTAGTTAATTTTTGCATCTGAATAATCCGTTCTTCTACGCAACCCGCTGACAGCCTGGCTTCCGCATCGTGATCCCAGCATTCCTCTATCGTCTCACAAAGCATCGCCATTCCCTGCGAGCAAACGGAGCCCAGTGAACAACAGCGGCACGCGGAGTTAGCAGCAAGTTTTAGGAAGGTGGGGGTCTCCTGGCAATTCCAGCAGCGAGCTGCAGTTTAAAGGCCCACCTGCCAAACCTTAACCCTTTCTGTCAGCCAGGACCCTCGGCCGCCGTATTTGTTTGGAAGGCTGGCACGCCTACGGGGCCTTACGCCGTCTTTATTTTGCGTCATTTAAACGAGATACGCAGCAGCGGGCAAATCCTTCTCGACCTACGATGTTGTAAGTCTGCTGGCAAAAGTCATCAGGGTCTTGTGCCAGATCTCGCGCTAGTAGAGGTTAAGTTCTTCAGGGATCAAATGGAACTTTGATAAAAAACCCCAGCGAGCACGAAAGGGGATTCCTATCTGACAGCAGTTAACTCTTCTCCAAGTAACACTGAGCTAATCGAGCAATATGCTAATCGCAAGGAGCAGATGGGAACATACGCTCGTTTTTCTTGCAGACAGACAGTGTCATCTATTGTTTCTAACGACACATTTTTTTGGGGGAAAAAAAAAAAAAACAACCCAAACACAAAACCCCCACAAAACCAGTGCTAGGAATAAGCACGGCTTCGCTGCAAGTCTCCGGCCACAAAGCAGATCGGGAAAGCACGCGGTTCCTCCCCAACCAGTCCCAGAAATGTCTCGTACGACACTGCCTGCCCTCACGTTATCACCTTCAGTTTGTAGCATTCCTGTAGGACATCAAACGTATTCTTTCTTAAATAGATTTTTAACTTGTGCATTCAAAAGTAACTCTCAAGAATCTCCTTTCACCAAAAAAGTGAAAAAACCACTCTTGAGATGAGAGAAAAATACTTCAAGATTACACACTTACGAGGTTACGGTCCATTCAATTCTTACTAGAATTATTACCTCCTCCCTAAAAGACAGCGTTATGAACACAACACAGCATTAACTAAACTTGAAATTCAAATCACGATGGAACTTTGAAGAACTTTGCGTAACTACTTACAGAATGTTTTTGCCAACACTCTCTTAAAACAGGTCTCTTCTTTTTGTGAACGACGACTTCCTGCATGTCTTCGAGGGAGGGATGCTGGCCGATTTCTTCTTCAAATGGCAACATGTACTCATCTACTGGGCCTATGGATTAAAAAAAGAAGTTAAATCACCAATTTTGCTTTAAAAAAGGGGGGGGAGGAAAAAAGAAATAAGAGTGTTCTCTTCGAAACAGAGCCCATAATCAGCATCGTACGGAGCGGTTTGGTTTCTGTTGCCATGAAAAGCTCACCCCGTGACAGGCCAGCAGCAAGCGGGGACTAAGACTTGAATTAAGCAGCAGTGGCGTTTTCAGGAGCCAGAAGCCTCTGCTCTCCTGCGCGTGGCAGCCAAGCGCAGCTCCCGGCCAAGCTCCCTTGAACCCAAAAGCTTCGGAACACAAGGGCGGAGGGAGGCTCTCGGATCCGCAGCGTCGCCTCCGCCAACAGGTCACGGCTGTGGTAGATAAATCCTCCTCCTCCTGGCAGGTTTGCTGGCTCTCTTGGTAGCCAGTTACCAAGCAGGCGCCCGACAGCCACTTGTGAATGTTTTCAATCCCACACAGACTGCAAGCCCCAAGCTTGCAATAGAATCATAGAACTGTTTGGGTTGGAAAAGACTGTTCAGATCATCAAGTCCAAGCAACTGCTGCGTCCCTCTGAGAACGCAACGTGTTTCCTCCTCCGATCCACGCAGCCCAGGACAAAAGTCCTTATGCTGAAGGCTACGCGTAATGTTTGTCTGGAAGAGGATGAGAGGGACAAGCTTTGTACGCTGAACTATAGATTGCGTAATTGGGTTACTGTAATACATATTTGGGGCTCTCAGATGAAGAGTCTGAAAAAAGGAGGAAGGGGACCACAGAAGAAGTGAGCGGCGTGGTACGGATGAGGCTGATGAGACTTTGTGAAACAGACCAGGCACCTTCTTAAAAAAAAAAAAACAAAAAAAACCCCACAAAAAACCAAAACAAAACCCACCCAACCCCAAAACACCCAACCACATAATTGCACGAAGAAGATGGCAGCCGTGCCTGTAGAGCCACACAAAGCTGGGGTCAGCTGCTTTCCTTCGCCGATGCCTCCTTTACCTTCCGGAACAGTAACCACACTGCCAGAGAGCCACGACACAGCTCCAGTCAGCTTTAGGTAGGTACGTTTTAACAGAGCACCGAGGCATGAAAAACCGATACAGAACGCGGGGCTGCCTCAGAGACTCGCGCATGGTCGGGTCGATCCCCTTAGTAAACAGCTTAACATTTTTAAAAGGGTAAAATCTCCCCAGTGGCTTCTACTGCGCGAGGAAAGTTTTGAAGCAGAAGAGCACTGCTTGGAGCAGAGGAGCCCGGTGTGGCCACGCGCTGATCTGCTGAGGTCTCCCGTTCATCCTGGCTCTTCCTATGGGAATCTGTCCCGGCATCGGGCTCTCGCAGGAGAGCTTTGTGGCAAGGGCATCACCAGCCCAGGCGAACCCGTCACACTGACCCAGCTGAACTGAGCTGCTTTGAAGACTGCACTGAAAAGGCAACTTGCTCCCAAACATTTTTGCATCTTGTCCTTTGTCTTGTTCTTGATTAACCCTGACTTATTCTGGACATCCAAAAAAGATCTCTTAACAAAAATTAAGAATAGTTCATAGCTGAATACAGGGTATCCGGTATCTTTTCCTGATAGCTTAAAAATCAGATCCAATGGTTTGAGGAAAACAATTGTGACAGACCCGTGGCTAGCAAAGTATCAGTCTCAGATTTCTCAGACGTTACTGCATTTTCCATCTCTAAGCTATCAACAATTTATTAGGAGTTCTGACATCTCTGTGAGCTGAACTAATGTCATGTTAGTGACAGCAAAGAGCAAGAGTGGGTAGGGAAGCACTCGCCATGGCACAGCCTCACCCTGGCACCTGCGGCTGAGCCAGAAACAGAGACTTTGCTGTGCCTCGCTGCAGAGAACCGACTGCCTGGCGCGCGGAAGAGCAGCTGCCCACGATTCAGGGAGGGCTGAGGTGGTGTCCTGCACATGCTGCCAAGCAGCTGGAAAATTACTGACTGCATCAACGTTCTTGGTAAGAAAATATATGTTGACTTATGACAATTCTTTGTGTCTTTCAGCCTTCCTCGACTGGGAACAGATCCCCGAGCTGGGGGAGCGTCTACGCACAGCTTCCAGAGGCAGCACTAGAAGGCAGGTCGCTGCCCAGGTGCCCAGCAGGAGGCATCCATTCCTCCGCGGGTGCTGGTGGGATACCTTCGTTACCGAGGTTAATCTGATCTCACCCTTTGTTTATGAAAAGAAGCAACGCCTTTAAGATAAACTGGCACTGCAACGGTCAGGCTGAACTCGTAAGGAATCAAACACGCTCGGTTAGGAGTTCCCCAGCAATTCTCTCTCTTCCTTACCGCCACCAGGAGACGAAATACAACAGGTACGCACGTGTCAGAAAACCTTTACCTGGGATGCCAAATACTGAACAGACCGAATTATAAAGTGACTACATGACACTGGTGTTTCATTCATTTCCCCGCAAGACCACCACCCTCATTAAATTTTATTACATACCTATAATCTACCTTCCAATTTCTTGCTTTAAGTACACCTCTCACAGACTACATTAAGTATTTCCACAGATCAGTATGTTGCTTACCATCTGAGGCAGTACAGCGTGATGCCAGTTCCCAGAGGACTAATCCCATGGCGTACATATCTATCCTCAAAAACGCATCCCTTTGGAAGTTTATAGCACCTTCTAGTACCTCAGGAGCCATATACCTTCGTGTACCAACCTTGAAAGAGAGGAAAGCATAAAAATCTGTGCACTACGAATCAACATGACCACAATTACCGCTCCAGCTGGTGCCGATTATAATGCCAGTTCCCAGAGGACTAATCCCATGGCGTACATATCTATCCTCAAAAACGCATCCCTTTGGAAGTTTATAGCACCTTCTAGTACCTCAGGAGCCATATACCTTCGTGTACCAACCTTGAAAGAGAGGAAAGCATAAAAATCTGTGCACTACGAATCAACGTGACCACAATTATCGCTCCAGCTGGTGCCGATTATAATAATGGCATATATATATAATATATATAATACTGTGGACTGGTACTATTTGTTGTCAAAGATTAAGAACGTCCATGGTTATCCTTGTTTAGGACTAGGTCTTGGAATTTTCTTGCATTTTTACATCCAATAGTGGATAAGAGGAATTAGAAACAATCGCATAGACTGGGCCCTATAAAGAATACTTACGAAGCAGGAAAACGTGAATATATTTTGAAATAACACATTGGCATACCAATTCAACATAATTGTCACTGCTGTTCATTCTTTTATTCCAGATTACAGGAAGGCCACTATTCTGATTTTTTTTCATGTCAAAAGAATCATTACAGTTTCACGTAAGGATGTGGAACTTGCTTATGTTTCTTCTACTGATGGGAGCAGTCATAAAAATACCGCAGGAAAACTAGCCACCCGAAGTACGATTTATACCGAGGACGTTGTATGAAATCACTTGGCCATTAAAATGAAAGCTTCAGAGATACCCCTTCTTTTTGACAGCCATCAATTATGAAATTACGTCACCTGGATAAATCAGAACTTACACGATGTCCGAGCAAGACCTACTCCACTATTTAAACCTTCATGGTAAGAGCTGTGTTTCTCTTAAGCAGTGTTACTGAGGCTTTATAATCTCTCTGTACGGATTTTATTTTTGTCGCTCAACCATAAACTGTGAAGTTCTGCCTAAAATTAAATATATTTTGTTTTCCAGAAACCGTAATGCTCTAAGCTCAAGCTTGTTATTTTAAAAGTACATGGTACTAAACCAGTTCCCTGGTGCATGACAAGTGCTGGATCAGCACTGTTGTCGCTTGAGGGACATGCCTGTTGCTAGGTCAGAAAGTTAGAAATTGGGCTGCCGGTATCATTCCTCAATTTCTGAGCAGTATCTCTGCTCTTTCTCATCCAAATCCTCCAGCAAGAATGAGAATAAGGGGGGGAGAGAGGCCATAGAGTGAGACTGGGGTAGGGGAAGGCTGTGATCTGTAATTATCTAAAGAATCGTTTAATTTTTAGCCTGTGAGAAGACAGCACAAATTGCCACCATCATCAAAGGTCACCAAAAACAGGGTTGATGATACAGTATCCTGTGCATGAAGAATGCCTGGACTACCAGTTCCTATTCACATGCAGTTGCCAGTTGTATCATTTATGTAAATAAATTGGTATTTACCTGTCCATGAGTGTCCCCTGCAGACTTTCCAGCCTCAAACTTTAAAGCTAGACCGAAATCAGCAATACAAGCTGTAAGATTATTTTTCAGCAGCACATTCTTGCTTTTGATGTCCCTTTCAAGTTAAGGAAAAAAAATTAGTAGTCTAGAACATGAAATACCGTATAAAATTCTCAGGAAAAAGCAATATAATAAAACAAAGAACATTATAATATGAAAGGCAAGAAAATCCTAGCAGATCATTTAAACAACAAAAGAATAATAATAAAGCCTAGCAGTACACTTGCACACCTTTATTCTCATGGAAATACGAGACTGCAATTGGAACTATAATTTTATGCTGAAGTTTAAAAATACATATAGATTTATAAGTATGTATGATACAGAAATAGAATAAAAATGTAGTTACTGCATACTTTAATTACAACTACATTTTGTTTGTTTAAATAATAGGAAACAAAACAGTTTGAAAAATGAATCTTGACTGTTTCTAACCAGGAGATACACAACTTCCTGCAGAAACAAAAGATAATGGACTCGATCCAGGGATTCCCATCTGGCCTGTGTGTACCTCTCCCCCTCCCCCATTTTACCATCAGCCAAGCAGTTTTCCTCATGAAATTGCAAATTCTGCAGAATCTGTGTTTCTCTTACTGTTTGTGCCTATCTTTTATTTTGGTTACCACTATCATTTCAGCTCCCTACTTCTATTAATTGCTTTCTGTACCTACCTCGTTTTAAAAAAGCCAGCAGTTACACTCAACAATAGGCGTAACTCCACTTATAGCAAATGTTTCTGTCTGAAGGCGTTCAGCATTACTTAAAAAGTTACACACGTTAAGTGTTTACGTTGTTTGAAATAGCTATAATGCCAATTATTTCATACACTGCAGAGGGTACTTAAATAATCAACTGTATAAAAAATCATCTATGACATTAACCGCAATCAGCACCAAGTTCTATAAACTATCCGCTAGATTTTTGCTTAGGCTGAGCAGATTTTTCTTACGAGATTCTTGATAATTCTGGAAGGAAGATCCCACAGAGTAGTTATCTGACTACTTCCTATCTATCCACATTTCATATCCTTTAACTCATAGCTAAGTATTAACGATCACCTGAAAACATTTTACGTCTACTATACCTGTGTGAGATGGCGGGTTTATGTCCATCTTTTAGCCCCGGTATATCCTCGTGAAGGTAAGCCAAGCCTCTAGCCATCGTCTGGGCGATGTGACACAGCTCATTCCAGGAGACCACATTAGCCTTGAGAAAGTCTGTTAATGAACCCTGCACGGCAAAAAAGAAAAACAATTACAAGATCAATTGCATTCTCAGCTCCTCATAAAGAAAACTTCTAGATGGCCTCCATCATTAGAGAACACGATACGCCCGTCTGCCTTTCTCCGTTTTCTAATAGACCATGTAATTACACACATACACAAGCAATCAGCTGCTCGTTTAAACAACAAAAAAATTAACCTTTGCGTCATCTCTAGTCCATGAATAGGATCAAGATGCAGCTACACATCACCTCAACAAGCAAAGAGCACAATGAACTCGAGTTCAATGGTGCACTGTGAAGCGTCAGAAATGGGAGCTAGATTTAAGGTATTTAAGTTCCTGCTAAAGACAAACCCGCTCTTACAAGGGTGATCTATTATCTTCCAGGCACAGGAAATTACAGGTTAGCTCCACCTCCAAGCATTCTGCTGAACTGGGTTCCATCGTCCTCTACAACCTTTAACTGATAGCCTCAGACTTTCTTTTCTTACAGACCAGCAACAGTAAACTCCAGTTTCACAATAAAGTTATAAAAGCGATGAAGTAAAAATCTAGTCAACGTGAAGCACTTCTCTTCAAACTCGCTTCTGTAGCCCACTCTATACACACATTTTCATGGATTTGCATATTCTCCAGTTTGTGAGATGTCACCATGTCACACGCTGCTTGTGAAAAGCCAACACAAAAGGGAAAAATGAACAAAGCGCTGTCAAGGCGTAGAGGCTACACTTTAAAAATAAAATAAAAAATTACTGTTTTCCATCAGAGCCATCTCAGATGCCATCTTTCCAACAGGAACAAGATTTTTAAAGCTCTTAGACAAAAAACTAACAAAAAATGGCAATAACCTTTCAGAAAGGCAAATCAGTCTAGTATTATCTACTTGATCGTGAAGACCTGTCAAAAATTTTAAACAGTTGGATAGTTTTAGTCCTCTAAGTGATTACAGCAGAGGCATACGTGGGACAAAAATGCTAGAATGAAGCAGGTAATATATAATACTAGAAATGTGATCCATGACCTAGCCTTAATGCATCAGCATATCCATATTATACAGATCTGTATTTTCTCAAATCTGCTACAGGTAACATCTTCCTAATGCCCTCTTTGTCTGTGCCAGTGCTAAATTTAAGTTTGGGGCTTTTTTTTTGCTCTTTACATTTACATCTGTGACAGTTACACGCATTAAAAAAATATCCCAAATCTAAGTGGACAACATAAAACAGCGAACAGATTCCTAATGACATATATTCACATTTCTTATTGTGGTTATCACAATACAATTGATACATATTACTTCGTTCTTATAGACACAAATCAGCTGACACAAGTGAAACAAAAATCTAACATCACAATCTTTGCAAGATGGAGTTTATTTAATTTAGGCAGATTTAGATATTAAAAAATACACATTCTAAAGAACAAAAAAGTAAATTTGTGTTTGTTTTCTAAAACAACTCCTCTATTAAGCGAAGACCGCTGACAACTTTCTCAGCTGGCTGAAATTAAATTTAAATAAATTCAGATCCCATGAAAAAAGCCAAGCTAAGAATAAGCAAAATCTGTTTTAGATCTTATTTCTTAACTGCCTGAAGCTCACATTTCTGACAGGCATCTAAGGCTGTTCTTCCTCTACCACAATCACAAAAAAAGAAACTACACTGCGAACTAAACATACCTTTTCGTGAAATGCTGTAATTAACCAGAGATCGACATCAATGCTAGTGCCCCGTTTCTCTGCTCCGATGAACTGCAAAATATTGTCATGCTTCATCCCAGGTAAACTGTAAATTTCATATTCGTTCTGCCATGACTGTTTGTCCTTTAAACAAAAGACCACATCAAACCAAGTTAATACCATCATAATGACAATAAGAGGTACTTTCCCTGACAGAAGTTTCTTCCTGTAATTGGCTGTGCATTTGTAAATGATCTGTCAAAATGACTAAAACTTATTTTTTTTTGGCACAACGGGGCTGTGAGCAACCTGATCTGGTTAGCGGTGTCCCTGCTCCTGCAGGGGGGTTGGACTAGATGACCTCTAGGGGTCCCTTCCCACCCAAAACATTCTATGATTCTATGATCCTATGACTTTCTATCTAAAGGAAAGAAAGCATAGTGTATGCTATTAACGTTGAGGCTGATAGTCTAAACATTTGTAATTTTTAAACAAATAACAATATTTGTGCTACAAACTACTGACCTAACATGTACAAAACCATGAAAAACTGTCTTTCTTCACATATATTCCATATTCACATATGGAAAACTTTCTGAAAAACTTAAATGTGTTATAAACAGATATCAACTGTTGAAAACTGCATCAATTATCACAGATATGAACCATGGAAACACAAAGCTGTAGATTGGGATTGCAGTCTATGTACTGCAAATCATTAAAGTTGCTTTAGTCTTAAGAGCATGGTTCAATTTTTGTATTTTATTCATCTTCAAAACTCCCAAAAAGCATTAGAAATAGGTTTTCCTTCATTAAAAATAATGAACGAAGCTTCAGATTTAATTTATGTTGTGCTGATGGCTGAAACCAGCATAAATACGTGCCATTTCTCCTGGAAGAATAAGAACCTGCAGATGTATTTAAGCAAGTCAACACTTGGCTAATCATCAAAAAACGCACGCTTACATTTCGCCTCAAGTAGCAGTTGGTGTTTTTAATTAATGTAAAATCTATCCTAATACCATTGCATATGATCACTTTGTATTCTTTAGCTAGACTGGATCTTAAAATCATGACTGCAATTTATTCTAAAACATGGCTTTCAGAGGATCCTTGATGGGAAGTCAGTATTATTTCACTCGATTGAGGCATATTTAATGGGAACAATCACCTTATGGGTTTGCATGTCAGGACATTCCTTCCAAGTACAATTTAATTTGCACTTCAATTAATTATTCTCAACTGATGCGTGAGAGATGCGTGAGAGCTGCTTGAAACTACTCATGTCAAACATGTATTCTTATGACTAGAAACATATACAGCTTTCACAAAGTTTGTTTCAATAATGTTTGCTACATTAAAACATTTTAATTCAATAAAACTCTACCTGCACATTTTTCAGCTCACAACATTTCCTGCATTTAAGAGTTTCTTTGAACTATCTAGATTTACAGTGTATACGGAAAGTTCTGTAAAATAAAAGCCTCTTATTGTGACTAGAAAAGCTGGTCTAAAATTACGATATTACGAGCAACACAGGAGACTAAGAACTTCTGCTTACCTGAATCGGGAATATTTTGACGGCAACATACTCATTCAGTAGTTGAGCTTTCCACACGCATCCAAATCTTCCCCTAGCTTTGATCTCTAGTAACTGCAATGGCTTCAAACCCATCAACGGTGAAGGTGGTGGTGGTCCAGGATCCTGAAATCAGGTTAAACCCAGTAATTAATTTTGCTGTTATGTGTGCTATCTATAATGAGAGCACTAGAAATAAAGGCTTGCAAACTGAGAGAGACTTGGTATCATATACCCAACCCCCTTGCAACAAATTCCCCCCAAAAAACAGAAACAAATCAGCAACCCTTCTCCATAGGAAAGAAAAAGAGATTGTAAAACATGCTCAGAATTAATATGCAAGCGACAGCATAACAACGGTTACAGTATAAATCTGTCTAACCAGGTGTAAAAGCACAGCAGAAATGAAGGAATAAAGACAATCGAGCTTTACATGGTACTTTTGTTAAGTGATACAATTAAAATGAGCACCTTTGGTAACATTTAAGGGGGTTTTGCTTGCTTGTTTGATGTATGTGTGACCTTTTCATTCCTTTAGTTCAGTGGCCTGGTGACTTGACTCTAGGTGGCCACAGAGTCCCGTTTCCGTGACTAACGCTGCATCCCCTCGGCCATCAGAAGCAGAAGATGGCTACGTGAGCAATTGGATGGCAGAGCTGAAGTGAATCCCCTTGCTGCCTGTGGTTACCACGTACCAGTTCAGTTCTCCCACGCTGTCGAGCTGATACCAGCCCAGCTCTACTTCAAAAACTCAGCTGCTTACTGGGGACACAAGGTTGCAAACCAACACGTGGGCGGGCCATGCCACTACCAGGTTTTCCAGGACGTAACTAATATTTTTTTTTTCACTTAGAAACCACCAAACCACATGCATAGTGCAAACATTTGGCACAGGAAACCAAACGTCATCATCTCTGCAGTCAGCCCTCCCGGCCACACGAATGGTGGTGTGCAGAACCACAGAGCCGATGCTTCAACCGATGCTTCAACCAACTGAGCCACTTCTACTGCTCCCAACTTTTGCTCATGCAGACAGCCAGTATGTTACCGAAATGTGAGTACTTGGCCGTACCCCAGAAACAGAGCTAGAATTAAATTTAAGAGATTATCTTGTCACATCTTAACAGCGTTCATACTTTACGGAGGGGGCTAGCCCAACAATTTCTCTTCAAATATGACAGCACAAACTGGAAATGCAATTGCAACTGAGCTGGAGCTTCCATACAGCTACCCATATAACCGCTGATCTTACCACAGATTTGAACAACTTCCCTTTCTGGGAAAGAAAATGTGATAGCTTATTGAATATTTTGTATATTATATTTTATACATCTCTTACATATTCCGTATCATACACAACATCTGAACGTAACAAGTAGGTTTTCAACTTCATTGCCAAAGATGTGCTGCTTTCTGGGCTGTCCTCTTCTCTCCAAATCTACCACGTCAGATCAGCTTGTACCCACGTAAGCTTCTTCCCTACCATGACCAAACGCATTGGGCCCGTTTACATATACCTCTGCATCAAAGAATATTGCCCTACGCACAGAGCCAGAGAAACATGATCTCTTCTGCCTGATCCCTGTTTTCTGCAGGAAAATAAGTCAAGCTTTGATGCGTATTGGTCACCAAGCAGAATTACCAATGCTGTCACCACAAGAAACAGCTGCACCTTCCTGCCACAGCCCCCCCCGTTAGTTTAAACCACAACACGTTCCTCAGGCCAAATGACGACAGAGAACTGCAAATGTCACTGCCAGCAGCGACAGCGTGGGGGCAAACTGCAAGACCGTGGATGGGAAGAGGGCAAACGGCTGCTTTTAGTAGCAGTGCAGGTCTTCGCAGACCACAAAATTGTGCCACGAGTCTCAACATCGTGTATGTAAAAAACAAACATACCAATGGAAGTTAGGTACCGCTTTTAAATTATGGCCACACTGCAGAACACAACAAAAACCCCCTTAAAATCTATTGTTCAAAAAAAACCTCAAAAATGTACATTCGGCTTCGCTATTTTTTTCCCAGTCACAGCTGTAACGCTGTTGTAAAGAGAATGAATGAAAAACAGTGGAGTCGTTGCTTCTTCGAAACAAATGAGAGTACTCAATAGTTAAGTATTTGAGCACTTCAGTTAGCAACATAAAAGTCTTGTGCACCTTAAAGACATTTTCTGAACAACCGTGGTTTTAAGTATCCTTTCCTATTGTAAGAATGGAGACAAGTGCTTCTGTATCCAACATGAGTTTTGAGTAGTTTAAGCGCAGGAATAAATAACCAGTCTCTTGTTTCTTATTGCATCCTTCAACAAGAGCAAGTTTCACAGGGAGATGGATGTAGAGCGATTTCAAGAAACTGTAACCTAATTCCACAAATTAATAACTGTAGAAGAAAATATAACGTTTGAAATTCAAATTAAGAGACACATTAGAACACTATGCTCAAAAAAGTACGAAATCCTTTCGCAAATAGGACAGCTACAGATGCTTGCAGTTGTCGCACCGAAGTTGCTGGGTTTACTCAATGCCAAAGCCCTTTGCAAATATTTCAGGCACCAGGGAAATCACTGTCCTCAATTTGTGATAGCTACACTTAAAAGTGAAACTAGAAACAAGATGCCCAAATCCACTCACAAAAGCCTGCTTTAATTTGTAAAAAAACCGCTGCTATTTTTAAGACCCCTGAGCACTGTGCAACATCTGGGGATTTAACATCAGGCAATTAGAAAACTTTCAAGGTTTGAACCTAGTGACTTACCTAAATTAAGAGCACAATTTGTGGGAAGTAAACCCGAATCTCACTTTGCTTTACGGCCAGAACAACTTCCTTTCCTTTCCATACCATCCACTCAAAAAATCTGTCAGTATTTTGAAGCACACTGTGTGAATTTTTTCTCGACCGGCAAGCAAATGACCACTTAATACTTCGCAAAGATTTGATGAAAAAAATTACAGCATCTATCATATGAAAGAAGGCAATAACTCCCCAGTAAAAAGCGGCTAGCAAAATCCAGTGCTTCTTACTTTCACATTAGACCACGATAGTTTTCATATACCTGAATTTCCTTTTTCCTAGAAAATCTTGGCATTTCAAAATATTTTCCTACTACCTCATATAGCAACCTCCTGTGGTTCCCTGCACATTTCCCTTTCATGTTGAAACATTCTTATGAAGTCAAAACTTCCGGCATTCTTATGAAGAAGCCACCCACACACACAAATCAAAACAAATCTGATTTAAAATGGAAAGTATAATTGCCTTCTGTTAACAGAACTAAAAAGAATAGATTTCCAGGTTTTTTTTCTGATTTATTTTTTTTTTTTCTGAACAGCTTTGTTAAAAATCAACAGGCATTTACTCTAAAACTACAGGTCCTATTTTTATACCAAAATATTCCTTAACAGTATTTTCAACTTGCTCTACATCTAAGCAAAAATGTTTCATGTGCCACGGGCATAATTATTTTCGTATGGCTTTTTAAAATCATCTCTGTGGCGCCAAGGATGATGATATAATGTGAGTAAAGATGTCATGTGGATATATTAGTCTAACAGCTTGCCACAGCTGTCAAAAAATAAGGGCCCAATTTCCCGTTCCCAAGCTTTCCCTGTCCCTCTCCTTGGGCTGATTCTGGCACTGGTTTGACCACACCGCAACTCAAGGCAGTACGCTGTATTGCCAGAAAGCTTGTATTTATTTGTTTGTTTTTAAATTCAGGTTAGTTTTCTGATAGCTTAGCAAATTGCAATCAGTCTGCAACAAGGTCTGGGTTAATTATCCAAACAGGGTTGTACAGGGACGCATCTCTCTTTCCTGACTCCAAAAGATAAACAAGTTCTCAAACTTCCAGGGCACACGCAAGTTTCCCTTGCTAAATGGTGCAATATTTCCCCTTGGTTACATTTATTCTACAGCTTATATTGTGAATATGGTTGACAAGTTCTCATTGAAAGAGTCTGATGACTATCTTTGCTGTTTCCTCCCTTTCTAGTTTGGGACTGGTTCATTTTCAAACAGATAATTTGTAAAGTTAAGATCCAAATAGAGTAAAAGGACTCATTTGTAATTATTCTAAAATTAACTTTATGATTTGCATCAAACTGCATTTCTTTTAAATGGCGACAATTCTTCTCTTCTTCACCTCACAAAATCCTCTATTTTATGGTACATTGCAAACATATTCCCCAAAGTCATATAAAGAAAGTAGTTACTTGTATGCAGGGTACTTCAGCTTCTTCCCTAACTGAAATTATGCCATTTGAAGCGAAACAGTAATACAAGTAGAAGCAACTCTGATAACTCTTTACAGATGCAAGATATTTAGGAAATATTTGAATAGCACCATTCCATTTTCTTCTACGTTACATTTACAAGGCATTTCAGCTATGAGGGACCTATAGAGACAACTGAAATTAAGCATTCTTATTACAACCCTAATCTTGACTTTTTCAATATTCAATTTAAAAGCCTAGCAATAATGACCACGTTTCTGAATTAGCAGTTTTCAGTTACTTCTTGTTTCACATGAAGTATCCGTAGTTTAATACAAGTAAAAATAACTTCTGGCCAGCGAAAAAAAGAAAATTAAGAGACTTAATAGAATATTTTTCTGCAGGTAATCTATTTCTCCCAGCTCCTGAATCACACAAAACCCCACCACATCACCCAGAACCACAACATGAAGACCACACACCTCACTCAAACAGTTATAGGCAATTCACGGGTGGGAGATGACAACAGACATCCAAAGACAGGACACGAGCGGGCAGGACACGCCGCTTACTTCCAGGGCAACCCACCACAGCAAGAGCTACGGTCCCTGCCGGCTGGATGCTCCCACAGCCAGAGACTGAGGTTCCCAGCAAATGCGGTACCAGCAGAGCCCTTACTGCTGCTTATCCCAATTCCAGGGTTGAAGTGACACAGACCAGCTAGCCAGATGAAGAAGCACAAACTGACTACGCCTGCAGACATTTAACTCAATAGCCTGAGAAATTATTGTAAATTTTAAGAAAGCTATGAACAGCAGATGAAATCTGGATGTTTAAACCACGCATGCTTACAAATTTCTCGTCGAAAACACTGAAAAATGTAATTCATACCAAAACAACTTCTTACATGTCCACAGA